ATCCGGTCTCAATCTCTTCTTCCTCATTAGAAGACTGTTGTTCCACCGATTCTTGAATGGGGCTCTCAGGAGCTGAGCTTGTCAATGGGGTTCCCTGTCTCAAACTCTCCAGCAAAGTTCTGAGAGTAGCAGCACGGTCTGAATTAGAATGAGGAAGATCCTTCAAGCTTTCCCAGTTTCTTTCCTCATAGAACCCTTGATTCTCAATGAACTTCACATCCCTTGATACTAACACCCTCCTTGTCTCAGGAATGTAACATTTGTAGCCCTTCTGATTGATAGAATAGCCAATGAACATCCCTTTTGTACTTCTTGCTTCTAGTTTGTTCCTTTGTTCCCCTGGTACTAAGACAAAACAAACACAACCAAATACTTTTAGATAATCGATTCAGCTGATCTTCTCAAGTAATACCTCAAATGGGGAAGAATCTTGGAGGATTCTTGTGGGAAGCCTATTGATCAGATAACAGGCCGTGACTACAGCATCTCCCCAAAATCTCTTGGGCACGTTCATATGAAACATTAGGGACCTGGCCACCTCCATAAGATGCCTGTTCTTCCTCTCAGCAACTCCATTTTGCTGAGGAGTGTAAGGGCAGCTCGTTTGGTGCACTATACCATGCTGAATAAGGTGTTGTCTAAAGGCTTGGCTTGTGTATTCTCCACCATTATCTGATCTAAACACTTTGATCTTAGCATTATAATGGTTAGTTACATACTTTTGAAAGTTCATAAAAGCCTCTAGCACCCTATCTTTAGATGGCAACAAAGTTATCCAAGTGTATTTAGACTTCTCATCAATAAAGGTAACAAAATATTTATGATTTTCTCTAGACATGCAAGGAGAAGTCCATACATCAGAATGAACTAAATCAAAACAGTTCTCATATATAGTAGATGATTTAGGAAAGACAGTTCTACAATGTTTGCCTAAAATACAAGCCTCACAAGCATTGTTTTCAAATTTAACATTAGGCAACATCAAGTTCAAAGATCTATGATGGGGATGACCCAATCTAGCATGCCACAAAGCATTATTCTCAACAGCAGAACTAAAGACAAAAGCATTAGATAAAGAGGATGGCTCAGTATTTTCAAGAACATAAAGACCATCCTTTGTTATTCCTTGTCCGAGAAGCTTACTTGACTCAATATCCTGAAAGAAAACCTCATTAGGACTGAATATAGCATAACAATTTAGATCAGTAGTTGCTTTCTTAATAGACAACAGATTAGATGTGAATGAGGGCATGTAAAATGCTTTAGACTGTTTATCAAATAGCTTAAGATCACCAATGCCTTCTATCTTAACCTTTTCACCATTAGCAATAATCACATTTCCTAATGCAGGTTTCATGTTACTAATCAATTTAGCATCACTAATCATATGATGGCTAGCTCCAGAGTCAACAATAAGTGGTTTATCACTTTTTAAGGCATGATTAGCAGAGTGATTTTCTAAAGAATGATCATGCACAACAGTATTAGCGATTTGATTAGTCAAGTTATGATCATGTAATGCATGAAAGCTAAAGGCTTTAATCGGTTTACCAGACTCTTTAAGAGCCTTAATGAGAGCATCCAGATCTGATTTCTTCACATATTCAGCTGAGGCCCTCATAGCAACACCTTCCTTTTCACGGTCTGAGAGGCCAGCCTCCTCATGAGCATGAGCTTCATTCGCCCTAGGCTTCCTCTGGTCCTTGCGGCTTTGCTTGAGATGTGGGTACAAAATCCAGCACTTGTTCTTCAAGTGACCCTTCTTTTTACAGTGCTCACATACCCACACTTCACGCTCCTCACCACCATAAGAACCCTTGTTGGCCGCTACAGCTTCACTCTTGTTAGCCATCACCAAGTCACTTCCTTTGTTACCAAAGAGACCCAAAGAGCCTTGTTCCTTCTGGATCTGAGAGCAAACTTCCTCCAGGCTTGGTAGAGTCTTGGATCTGAGCATGTGCTTCACCAGATCATTGTAAGTTGGGTTCAAGACCATGAGAAGAGCAAAGACCTTATCTTGCTCTCTTCTTTCATTCAGAGTCTCAGCATCAACAGTGGCTGGCCTCAGCATCTCAAGCTCTGCCCAAAGAGATCTGAATCTACCAAAGAAGGTGTTAAAGTCCAGATCTCCTTGGTGGAGGCTGTTTATTGCCTTCTTAACCTCAAAAACTCTGGTGAGATTACATGTGTTTCCAAACACATTCTTCAAGGTATCCCACAGCTCCTTTGCACTCTCACAATAGGAGTAAGATTCCAACACAGGGATATCCAAAGCACCATGGAGAATAGCTAGAACCGCCTGGTCTTCCTGATACCACTCATCAGAATCAGTCACAGCCGGCTTCTTTCCTCCTTCTTTAGATTCGCCACTCTTTGCATCTTCAACATGATGCCATAGCTTCCTTCCACACAACACAGCCTTAGCTGTTCTTGCCCAAAGCAGATAGTTGTCTGCTCCTTTGAGAACAATCGGTAGAGCCTGAGCTTTGTTTCCCTCCATAGCAACCGTAGCAACACAGATTAACAGAGAAAGAAGAGAAAGTTTGAGTCTTTCACAAGAACAGGGTTTGTACGGACGTTTTCTGGGTTTAGAACGAAGAACAAGCGGTTTTGGAGATGAGATTAGAGAGAAAACAAGAGAAATAAGCCACCAGATTCAACAACCTGGCTCTGATACCATGAGAGAATATATAGATTAGCAGCGGATAAGAGATGATTAAGAGATTAAGAGATTGTGTTGAGAGATTAGTGATGAACTCGGATGAATGAAGAGAGAATAGAGAGAATGGTGAGAAAGAGATTACTTCTCTTTTTTTAGAAAAGACATTACATGTGTATACAGCTATATAAAGGAAAAGCAAAGAGCATATTCTAAAAGATTCCTAAGCTAAGAGCCAAAAGAGGAAAAAGTAAAAGCTACTTGAAAAGTAGCTTTTCAAACGGTCACAAAGGGATAAGGCTCCTTTCCCTCTTTTATCTTTGAACGCCAAAGGAGAAGAAGAGACTTGGAGAGAAAGGCTTCTAGATAACTTGATGAAGAAGCAACCCTAAGCATGGTCTTGTACGGACTTGTACGGACATACTTGAGAAGATCAGCTGAATCCTTAATGATAATGATCTCTCTTGATTAACAAAGAGAACACACGGCCTGAAAAGGATGGGCAACAGCTTGACTATTGTAGTAGACTCTGGTGTTGACCAAATGATGCATCTCCTTCCACATTTAGGATTCTGTACCTCTTGTTTCTAGTCTCAGTAGTGTCTACCTCTTATTTCAAGTCTCAAAACTCCCACTTGTCAATATAATGCTAATTGGTTATGTGGATGATTTAATCATCTCTGGGAATGACAAGGTTGGAATTCAGGAAACTAAGGACTATTTACATTCTGTTTTTGATATTAAAGACCTTGGTGAACTAAAATACTTCCTTGGGATAGAAGTGTGCCGATCTAAAGAGGGCCTTTTCTTGTCCCAAAGGAAGTATGCTCGAGATATTGTTCATGATGCAGGTCTTAAGGATGCAAAACCCGCTAGAACTCCATTAGAGGATGCATATAAAGCTCACCAACAGGGGGAGAATGAAGCTGAGAGTCTCTTTGATGATCCCAAGCTATACAGAAGAACAGTTGGTAAGCTTATATACCTCACAATAACTAGACCTGACTTGTGTTTTGCTGTGAATCAGGTGAGCCAACATATGCAAGCCCCAAGTACATATCATTGGAACATGGTGAATCGCATTCTGAGATATCTCAAAGGAACCTTGGAGCAAGGGATATGGATGGGGTGCAATGGAAGCTCAGAAATAGTTGGATATTGTGATGCTGATTGGGCTGGTGACAGAACTGATAGAAGATCAACAACCGGCTATTGTACTTTCATAGGAGGGAACTTGGTGACTTGGAAGAGCAAGAAGCAGAAGGTTGTGTCTTGTTCAAGTGCAGAAGCCGAGTATAGAGCTATGAGAAGACTTACAACCGAGTTGATGTGGCTGAAGATGCTTCTCTCAGATCTTGGAATAGAGTTTCGTCTACTACCGCGA